TTTTTGTTAGGTTATTTGCTATTTTGTGCATGGAGTTGTTATTCATGCGTTTAAATTTGTTTGTTAGGGTACGAACCTTTTTCTTCCCATCGAAGGCTCAGGCTCTGGAGGCCAGAAGTTGCCTCCAGCTCATTAATTGGTGTGCTTCTCATACCTCCAGTGATGATTCTGAGACCAGTGTTCTGTATTTTGTCCAGTTTGTGTAGGTTTGTTTTGGCTGCAGTAGAGAATGTTCCCATGCCATCCTCCAGTTTTAGTCGTACGTATCCTGTATATACTTGTACAGTGTTGGCATTTGCACCCCAGCTTGTTCCAGTAGGTTTCTTTATAAGTCTGATCCTTAGGGTTGCTTTTCTTTGGGTGTCTTCAAAGTCCTCAGGTTAGTCTTTCGTCTAATTTTACTCCCAATTATGTGGGTTTATCCTCTTTTGGAAGGTTGCACCAGAGACACCCCATTGGTGTGTATGCGATACATCCTTGGTTTGCCGACGGTTGCCGGCAGGCGCAAGGTGCTGCGGGCGAAGTCATATCTCAGGGTAGCTGCAGACACAGACCACCCTCTGCATGAAGCTCTGGGTGCAGTTAAGGGTCAGCGGCTGATAAGAGGGAGGTCATGGATGGCTCAGGCGGAAGACACAATCAGACAGGTTTGCATCATTGAGAACATTAGGCGTAGAGAAGAGTGGTTCAAAGCGCCACCTGAACAGTCAGACTTGTGTAGAGTCATAATCACGCTGAGCCGGAAATTCAGAGACTGGCCAGCAGGTGCCACAGAGGTGGAAATTCAGCAATTAATTCAAGATAATGCTCGCTCAGAGGATTTGGTCATTAACACAGACGGTTTAGTGTCAAGAGGCAAAAGAAGTGCTTGGGGCTTCTTAGCAAAAGGTAATGGTCGATGTTTGGTGCAGGAGAGCCTAGTATATGATACCACAACATCCAGCTCAAGAATGGAGGTGGATGCGGTCACTGCAGCTTTCCGCTGGCTAGAGAACACGACACACACACACATAGTGATTGTAACTGATTCAGAAAGCATGCTGAGGAAGATCAGAACAGGTATGCTTCGTGCAGAGTGGCATGCTTCGCTGCGGAGGACACGGGTGAGGAGTATTGTCTGGATTTTTTCACCGGGGCACGCCGGTGTTTTGGGCTGCTGAAGATGGGGACGGAGCGCTTATGGAAATGCCCCGAGTGCTGTGATGTCTGTTCTTGAATCAAATCAAAATCTTTTGGAGGGATGTTGCCTTTTAGGCAAAGATCAACTTTTTCTGGCTTTGTGGAAAGAGAGAAGAGAATTAAGACGGTTTTGGTCTGGTTTATTGTGACTTCCCAAGAGTCTGTCCATTTCCTAACTGTATTTATAACTTCCTGCATTCTTATTTTAGTTGTTCCTGTATGTTTAGCTAGGCAGTTAGAAAAAGAGCTTTGTAAGTTTAAACAGAAGAATATGATTATGTCATGGTCACTGTATTCAGGCGACTCGGCGCGGTGACATGGTCTGTTCAGTTACACCCTCTAGAGCCGTGCAGTCGCGCACCGGTCGTTGTGTAGCTTGGAGAGGCGCAGAAAAGAGCTTTAATCAGATTCTGTTTGTTCGGACCCGGTTAATGGCTGGAACAACTGGATGGTTAGTCTGACTCAGGGCTGCCAATGCTTGGGTTTTCCCCCCAGATCTGGGTTTTTTTATTTGACGCCTGGGGAAATCTGGGTTGTTGTTTTGTTTTTTTTTTTTTTCAAATATATCCTTATATAAAAGTGGTAAATATTTCGTTTTGTAACTATTCATTTTGTACATTTTCAACAATCTGGGGTTTTTTTTTTTTTTGTTCTTTGTCTATGTGTTGCTTGGGTTTTTGTTTAGCGAAGATGGGTTTTTCAAAAAAATTCCCATTGGCAGCCCTGACTGACTGACTTTCTCCCCACTAGGACATCACACAAGCGACTATTAATGTAAGGACTATTTATAGCTACAGAAGGGCGTGTCCGATCCAGGGCTGCCAATGATGGTTTTTACCCCCAGATCTGGGTTTTTATTTGAAGCCTTGGGTTCAGATTTTGGAATCTTGGGTTTTTTTACCAAATATATCCTTATATAAAAGTGGGTAAATGTTTCGTTTCGAAACTATAAAATGTGCACTTTTTATCAATCTTGGGTTTTTGTTTTTGTTTATTGTTCTTCGCTTCTGTATTGCTTGTTTTTTTGGCCAGCCTATTTGAGAAAAATTCCACTGGCAGACCTGGTCGGATCTCAGTCATCTGCTAGTTCCGGAAGTAACTGCCCGCGTCCTTTCTATTTTTCCTTGTTCTATTTAGTAATTGATATTTATTTAGTCCAGGAAATATAGATATATGAACACCGGATACCTGCTGACTAAACTAAAACATGTCATTGGCAGAAAGCACGCCCGTCTGTAGCTATAAATTTTTATTGGGTATGGTTAGGGTATTTTCTTAGCCTCGATAATTTGGGACCGTTATTCAGAGGATAGCCTTCAAAAACAAATTAAAACAAATGTTCATCACTTTAAAAAATACCCGTGGGCAAGTGAACAGTTCGGAAGCACAGATGAATAATTACGGTCTGAACGGTATGGTATTGCGAGGAGTGACTTGGAATAGTATTACGCGTAAAATTTTGTTCACCTCTTTAACGAAAGTTATATAGGGAAAAAGGGTTTAGATTATCTCACAAAGAAAAAGAAAACGATTTGAGTCAGTGGCTCGGGGTCAGGGGTCACCAGGTGGTTTGGGTTACACTAGGGTTGCCAATGGGATTTTTTTTTTTACACCCAGCTAAGTTGAAAAAAAAAAAACCAGAGCAATACATAAGCAAAGAAGAAAAAACCCACAGATTGTTAAAAAGTAAAAATTTTATAATTATAGTTACGAAATGAATCATTTACCTACTTTTATTTAAGGATATACTTTTTAAAAACCCCCTTACTTAGGCACTATAGACTTCTCGTCCTTTTTAGGACGAGATTTTTTCGTTATTTGAAGCCCTACTCTGGCTCCTGCCAGGGGCCGCAATATAGCCTGGCCATAAATATGACCTAAAGGCTGAACGCGGTTTCTGGAACCTCTCCACAGTGATCCCCACCCGCATAGTGGCACATTGTGTCATCGGGTGTTTATCGCTTGTGTGATGTCCTGGTGGGGTAGAAAGTCAGTCAGTCAGTAAAAACTCCTAGATTTTAAAATTTGAATCCAAGGTGTAAAAAAAACCAGATCTGGGGGGGGGGGGGGGTAAAAACCCATAATTGGCAGCCCTGTGTTACACGACTTGGGATCAGTGGTCTGATAAGGCTCGGGGTGGCTATGTGTCAGTGAGTGGTGCGGGGGTGAAGCACAGGATCCGAGGTTTTTTAGAGGTGGCGCTGGCTGGAGGCGAGCAGGGCTAGGGCCGTTTTAGGGATTACATAGTATAATAGGGCGAGGGACCCGTTGGTTGTATAGTATTTAAAAAAACTATGGATATTGACTCACATAAACGCCGCGACACAGAGATTGAAAACCACTGATCTACGCCCTTTTCCCCTATTTGAAGACAAGAAGACAAACTTTTCTCAAAAAATGACCTGACCCCCAGGTCGACCCAGCCTTAAATTGGTATAGGTAAAGTCATGGGATGTAAAGGCGGACGGCGAAATGTTGACCACATCGCCTTTCCAGTGCTCACTGGTCTATAAAACATAGGTCTAGCCCTATATGCAGAATACGTCTGAAGGCACAGAAAAGGGCACTTTTACATAGCAGTAGTAGCAGAAAAAGAGTACTACCACAAAACTGATACTACTACTAGCACAATTCTCTCTCTCTCTCTCTCTCTCTCTCTCTCTCTCTCTCTCTCTCTCTCTCTCTCTCTCTCTCTCTCTCTCTCTCACACACACACACATTTTTTCAACATATATGAATTAGAAAGGAGGGGAAAACACAGAGAATTAACAGAAAAAAAAAAAAAAGACACGAAGAAACAACTACTACAACAACTAAAATATGTTAATTAAACCCTACCTGTGAGCTTAGTCATTTTCCCAGTTCCTTGATCCGACATGTTTGTTACTGAATATTTTTTTTAGCAATATTCACAATTCAGAGTTATCTGTCACATTAAGCGTTGAAATACCTAACGTACTAATTGTAAATACGGCGGACATTGAATAACCAGTTCATCCGCAGGGTTAAACATTTTTTTCTTAATGTGAAAGTTTCTAGTACTATACTATAATATTCTTTTGCGCACTAGTGAAACGATGAACACAAAAGGATCTCTTCTTCCTAGAAGTTGGCTTTAGCTAAAACTTTGTTTCACTTTCTGTTTAAAAAAAAAAAAAAAAACTTCATACCTGTATTGTGTATTTATTATACTATTTATGTGTTTAGAAGAAAGAGAAGAAGAAGAAGAAGAAGAAGCAAAAGCAGAAGAAGAAGAAGAAGAAGAAGAAGAAGAAGAAGAAGAAGAAGAAGAAGAAGAAGAAGAAGAAGAAGAAGAAGAAGAAGAAGAAGAAGAAGAAGAAGAAGAAGAAGAAGAAGAAGAAGAAGAAGAAGAAGAAAGAAAGAAAAAAAAGGAAGAAGAAGAAGAAGGTAGGGTAGCTTTTTTTTGGGTTTTAATGAAAGAATGTTGTCTTCTAATGTAATAATCAACTTTCCAGCTTTGTGGAAAAGACAATTTTGATCTGGTGTATAAGTTTGTGTTTAAAATATATTTTTAACGTGTTTTTTTTAAATTAATATGACATTTAGCACTGTTGCTGCAGATACTACTACTACTACTACTACTACTACTACTACTACTACTACTACTACTACTACTACTACTACTACTACTACTACTACTACTACTACTACTACTACTGCTACTACTACTAACTTCATTTAATATTGGGTCAGCGATGTGTTAAAAATCTGCAACGTACTTCCGGCCGCGACCGTGTTGCTCATAGTTAGCGTCCTTTAGTAGTGTTGTATTTTTGAAATTTGGATTTAAAGCACCGAGAATGAGTCCGACGGCAGCTTGTGTGGGTAAGTAGATTACAGCGGTAATATTTTAAATAATAGTGCGTAAGAAAATATTGTTAGATGCAGTGTCGAACTGTTGTATGCTTGTGTAAAATTATCACCTGAAAGAATAAATTGAACTGGTCTGTATTCTTGACTCAAAGTTTACGTTACGGACGCGGCATGGCATCCGTCACTTCATGTAGTTCATGATCATCATCGTCCTAGGTTGAAATTATCATAAAGTATCTGTCTGTACTCTAATTTTATTTTCCAATAAGTTGCTAAAAAATGCTAGGTAATAATAATGAATAATGCAACTCACTGAGCTGACAAAAAATGTACTATTTTATTTTGTGTTTTAATTTTAAGCCGAAACTGAAACGCGAGCCCATGATTTTTTTCATTTGATTTCAGATTTCGATAATTTCGGTCTCTGAAGTTCTAAAGTTAAGAATTAGAAAGTGATAGATTAGAAGGCTCTTCTTTTGTATTTATGAAAAATGAAACCACATCTGGAGAGAGATTAATAGCAAGTGATTCAACCCAAGGGTACTTTAAATAGACATGTCGGCTGGCACTCTTCCGAATACCAGCCCCTTATTATTTACTGTCCAAAACATTCCTTTTAGAGCCTCAAGGGGTTCAAGAGGTTACTAAGAGGTCAAGGGGTTATAAAGAGTTATACAAAATATGGAACAATACGTACCAATAATGCCGTGAAATAATTGGGGCCATCCAGTTTCCACATCTGCGCGTTATCAGTTTCCACATCTGCGCGTTAAGCGCTGTGAGAAATAGTTTTTGATCCACTGAAGTGACGTGGTGAGGAATAATTTTCGATCCATCGGAGCACTGTGTCGATGAGTAGCAACGTTAAGATCATCATCAGTCTTCACTTCTGCCGTTAAGTGCAGTGAAATGATAATTGAAGCCATCAGCATCAATTTTCACTTCTGCGCGATGTTTAAAGTTAAGCGCCGTGGGGAGAAATAGTTTTTCGATCGACTGAAGTGACGTGGGGAGGAATAATTTTCGATCCATCGGAGCGCTGAAGTGACGTAGGGAGGAATAATTTTCGATCCATCGGAGCGCTGAAGTGACGTAGGGAGGAATAATTTTCGATCCAACGGAGCGCTGAAGTGATGTGGGGAGGAATAATTTTCGATCCATCGGAGCGCTGTGTCGATGGGTAGCAACGTTAAGATTTTTCGATCCATCAGATCGCTGTGTTGATGGGTAGCAAAGTTAAGATCATCATCATCAGTCTTCACTTCTGCCGTTAAGAGCCGTGAAATAATAATTGAAGCCATCATCATCAGTTTTCACTTCTGCGCAATGTTTAAAGTTAAGCGCCGTGGGGAGAAATAGTTTTCGATCGACTGAAGTGACGTGGGGAGGAATAATTTTCGATCCCTTGGGCGCTGAAGTGATGTGGGGAGGAATAATTTTCGATCCATCGGAGCGCTGTGTCGATGGGTAGCAACGTTAAGAGTTTTCGATCCATCGGAGCGCTGTGTCGATGGGTAGCAAAGTTAAGATCATCATCATGTCTTCACTTCTGCCGTTAAGAGCCGTGAAATAATAATTGAAGCCATCATCATCAGTTTTCACTTCTGCGCAATGTTTAAAGTTAAGCGCCGTGGGGAGAAATAGTTTTCAATCGACTGAAGTGACGTGGGGAGGAATAATTTTCGATCCATCGGAGCGCTGTGTCGATGGGTAGCAACGTTAAGATCATCATCATCAGTGTAGCAACGTTAAGATCATCATCAGTGTAGCAACGTTAAGATCATCATCATCAGTGTAGCAACGTTAAGATCATCATCGTCAATTTTTACTGCTGCCGTTAAGCGCCGTGAAATAAAAACTGAGGCGCTGAAACATGTGTCTCCACCCCCGCTCCTTTTCTCCCTCCACACAGTGGAATTTTTTTTAGGAAAGATAAATAAGATACACACAATATATATATATTTATATATATATAATACACAAAGCATATTTAATCAGATTATTAAATTACAAGAAGCCAAATCAGGATTTCAGAAGGAATAAAAACTGTCGGCCTGTTTCTCTAAATATCTAATGCATTTGATGTATATTGAAGAGAGCGCTGCGTTTACCTGCAACAATATCATATCTACTTTGATGGATTTAAAAATACCAAGATGTGTAGTAGAAACGACATAGCAGAGAAGATATACTTGGCTACAACTTATCTAAACACAAGAGGATGTTCAGTATCAATGAAGTGTGTACCACCTGCTAGTGTGGTCACTGAGAAAATGAAATGACAGACGAAAAGAAGGAAATGCAGAAAAAAAAATACAATACACTTTCCGTCAAAGAAAAGTGGCAACTCTGCCAATAATATTTGACAGTTATATGTCGAAATTGTGGCACAACAGTTGTAAATACTGTCCGAAAACATGTTCTTTGTGACTGTGACGCCACTGAAATTCGGCTAAATATGTATTAAACAATGCACGACTAGTGCCGCCTTGGAAACGCTGTTTCCTTTTGACTTGCATCCACAGCCCTTCAATTGTTTGGGTGTGGATGTCTCCGTGTACACGGTCAACAAAATTAATAGCATGAACAACAACGAGATGTTCACATATGCCATTGTTGAGTTGACCAACATTGTTGTAGCCTCGCCAGGCATCGGTGACAATTGTCGTTCCTGGTAACACATGCTCACTTATGATGTGTTCCAATGTTGTCGCATCTCGCCTATTAACAACTTCCAACCAGCAACGACCACTACCACGTTCAACTAGCCCAACTACCCATTGACCACGACGAAAGTAACCACGATGGTACTTGCGGTGGGAAAAATAGCTCTCGTCAACTTCAACAACCAATGACTGTCCGTTAGCATCAAATCCTCCCAACTGAGGGTTGCTAAGCAGCAGCCAGTTGTAACACTCTACCCGAAAATAATTGTTATAGTTGACTATAGTATCACAGCTTGTCAATCTCTTAAAAAACATCACATTTTTTTGCTTGACTTCGAACAACCCGTAAAACATTACCATCACAATTCTTTCAGTTGGGAGTTCACAATTAGCGAAGAACGAACCCGTCCGTACACTGTAACGAGTATTACAGCGACGACATCGCCACGAGAATCTATCGGAACATTCTAGCCTTGACACTAATGACATCTGACAGGTTGCAAGACGAACAGTCTACTGAGTTCCGTATTATTCTGTGCATAGCAAGCCATTGCAACCACTGTAGTTTATCGTTCATTATTCTATATAAATCATCAGGTCTGACATCTACAGCTGCCAGTTGATCAACTTGTAGAATATTATTGCTTATCTGTGTCGGAGCCGATGGTCTGCCTGCCATAATTAAAAGTAGCTGCACAAATTATCAAAGAAATATTTCCACTTTATTCGCAACTTTTGCCGATAAGCAATTAATTATTTACGCAAGTGCACAAATTCGCAAAGAGACTGTGACGAGGTGCATTCAGTGAGTACAGAATTCCTTCTAAAAGCAACAACAAAAAAAGTACACAAGTCCAACAGAAACCTTTACAAAGTGAAACAATGAGGTAACTGAACAGCAACCGATCTTCCTAGCAGCGATCAAAGTGTCTGACCAACCAACAATTTATCTCAGTGGAATTTAACGTTAGCTTAACAGCTGGACCAGGGAACGCATCTACGTTGAAGAATTATACGATCTTCCAGTCGAACGGACAGAAGACGACCATCTGAACTTTCGGACAGGCAGGTGGCTAATTACCACGGGTTAGAGTTGAGACGTAGCGGGCATTCTCAGACCAGCCGACAACTTTGATGTCCAGAATTCAAACAGGATAGCGGGTCCAGTTGTCCAAGCAAGCGAATTTCGCACATTAATGTGATACACGTAATCTACCTAGTGATGTCTAGTGATGTTACAACATACTCGTAATCACAAGGGCGGAACTTGGACAACAGGGTAGAACATTTACGGATGCCTGTGACCTGATTGATTCTATTATACTTTCATACTGTGCCAAAAGAGAAAATCTAACCATTTTTCGAAAATAAAAATTTCAAAAATGGAAATATTTGAACTACTGCATGTAAACAGTGAAAGTAGGTGCAAACATTAGTTAAGCAATATATAAGTAACCTGCAGTCTTCATCTTTTATCATCTTACCAAAAGTATATCTATATCGATAAACGCCTTTTCCCTTCTCCCGAGGATTCAGTCAGCTCAATATAGTTCACGGGTCTTTATTAGGCTGTATCTGTTTAACCAGGGACTATTACAACCAACCAATAATCGACTTCCGTAACAATAATAACCACGAATTGATGCCCTTCCAAGTAGCGACGAGTCACACACAAGACATTTTTTGTGGGTTCCAAGGAGAAAAAAAAAGAATTGATCCACTGCACCTGAGAAGAATGTTGTAAAAGGCAACTAATTAGGACTGCTGAAATCAGATGTGTTGGGGCGAAAGGCGCAGATATCGCAACCTAGAACGAAAGGCGCAGATATAGCTGCGTATTTGTTAACCACAATACACTATGCCAACCGCCATTTCAAGGGCGAACAAAAAAAAAGGAGATTAGCTGCCTGTGACATGACCATTGAGCATTTTGCCGCCGCTATCGCAGCCTAGCTGTTAACCACAAGACCGAGCGAAAGGCGCAATCGCAGCCTAGCTGTTAACCACAAGACCGAGCGATGGGCGCAAATATCGCAGCCTAGTTGTAACCACAACACAACGTGCAAACCACCCTTTTAACTGCTTATCAACTGTACTAGCGAAGCAGATATCGTAGCCTAGTTGTAACTACAAAACAACGTCTAAACCACCCTTTTAAAAGTAAAAAAAATTTGCCGCCGCTATCACAACCTAGCTGTTAACCACAAGACCGAGTAAAGACGCAGATATCGCAGCCTAGTTGTTAACCACAACACAACGTGCAAACCACCCTTTTGAAGAGAAAAAAGAAAAAAAAAATTTGCCCGCCGGAGAATCAAACCCCGATTAACCCGATCACCAGCGTAACAAGCAGACTGCTTATCAACTATACTAGCGAAGACTCTGTAATTTCGTTCAAACAAAATTATATAATAAAAGAAGGCATTTCCTGTTCCATATTTTTAACTACATGACCTCTCAAGTCCCTAACAACGACCTCTTGAGGCCCTGAATGGGATTTTTTGTCTTTGAATAATAAGGGACCGTTAATCGGAAGAGTGCCATGTCGGCTCTCCTCCGAATGGCATCATAATATTATGGCGGCCATAAAAAAATATCCCAAAATATCCGAATGGGGCTTAGTTGTATTAAAAATATGCCGGCTCCGTATAACGAAACAAATGCTCTAACAGGGTCTCATAGATATGTTACTTGCAGACCTGTTTCTGTGACTGTACCTCACCACCGACTGTATCCCCCGCGCAGCTACGCGCGACGCAGATGGGGGCTAAACTAAATGAGTGGGACTCACGAATGAGCAGCAGCTGCCGCATCTCCTGCAACTTCCTCCAACTAATTTAAATTTGCCTCAGGCACCTAGTTTAGCTCCCCATCCGCACCGCGCGTAGCGGCGCGGGGGATACACTAGGCTGTAAGTTTAATCACGTTTTGCGCATGCCGAAAAGTGTGAGGATACAGGTCGGCAGGTCTGGCATCTACTGCTGCTAAATCCTCAATCGGACGAACAGTAATACTAATCTCTGTGGGACCGCTTGGTCTACCCGCCATATCGCTTTTATTGTCTGTAATGTCTCGAAATATTCAACGATCGCTATTATCGTCTGCTAGTATCATCTGCAGAAATGCCCAAAATTGTCAACGGTCAGTATTTATCATCTGCTACTACCGTGTGCAATATTGATATTGTCAAGTAATCCTAGTTTTGCAGCGATTTGTTCCTTGGCAGAAAGTCCGTATTTTAGATATGCCTGAGCCCCGTTCTGATATTTTATGGCCGCTATAATATTATGATGCCGTTGCCGTTCGAAGGAGAGCCGAAATGTCTTGTACCGTAGTTTTAAGCAAAAATATAAAGTATTGAGTAATCGACTTTGACTATAAAACTGATGTACACCCATTGTCTATTAGTCAGAAATGTTGAGGTGAAGTCAGTGTGACACTGTTAAATAGCATTGGTAACGGAAAACGTAAAATACACAGTGAATTCTGATTGTTCATCCACTTCTGGACTGCAGAGGGAGTCGTTTTCCAGAACCTGAGTGTTGCATGAGCATCTGTTTTTTTTTTTAACAGATCTGACTGACTCGTTTGTATGCAGACTGCTGTTTCCTTGCCTCTTAAGCAGATGAAAATGCAATTCGGCTTAAAAGATAGCTCTCAAATAGTTGACTCTTACGATATGCTTTTGGGTAGGCAGTGGGTCTATTCTTGTTTTCCCTACAATTACAATAGGGCCCCGGAACCCACATGTGGAGTACGACGGTTGAAAGCCACCAGTTTCATACTTAGCTTTGAGCTTTGATATCACCCTTGAGTAGGTCAATTAAAAGTGTTCCCTTTTCTTACATTTTAAAAAAATGTGATTAAATTAATATTGGTAAGCCACAGAAACTTACTACTATAACCATGTATCACTCACACTGTATCTCAAAAAAAAAAAATAAACAGGTTTCATCCTTCTGCAAAATGTGCATATTTTTTGCCCTGTCGCCGTAATCATTTTTTTCCCAGATGCAAAAAATATGTACTTTTTCATGCACATAATTCTACATTTATTGGAAATAGTAATTTTATCTTCTTCTTGAACATTATCTAAACTCCTGAAAACCTGCCTTAGTTACTTGTGACTCAATTTCTGGCAACAGGTTTCATTCTAGCTGAAGATGAGGATCTTAACAACTAGAGTGTAATGGGTGATATTTTCACCCAGATTAGGGAGGTTGGGGGGGGGGGGGGTGGGGGGGGAGGTCCAAAGCGAACCCAAAACACCAAGATATTTCAGATACTCGGATTAAACTATCATGTATGTTCTGTTCAGGGTGTCCCATTCGGTTCTTGAGAAGTTTTATAAACTGCAGCTCATGAGACACATTGATTTTTACTACATCTGATGATCGATTGGCACGTGTCCATCTTTCCAGGTGATAGTGTTATATTGCGCTATGAGGAGGCATGGGACTCACACACAGCCTATGGTGATGGCGAGTGTGATTAGCAAGTTCCGCCCACATTAAGGAAAGTCTTCCACAATTATAGCACACAATTTCAAGATTGTTGTTAACATTTATGTTTAGTCTGTTTCTTCTTAGACGCTCAGCTCTCATCCTTTCTACAGTAATTTCTTCCTGGATTCTCATTTCCCTCTTAATGTGCACTCTCTACGCAATGCAGTCTATGGCATTTTATTCCCACAAGTCTATCTCAATAGCTATGTCAGTCATGTCCCATTTGCATGCATCTTTATATCTTAGTAGAGGTCAGCCTCGACATCTTCTACTCATTTTTAATTCACCATAGAGCTTACTTATCCTTACCTCCGATAAATGCTTTGGGAAGCGGCTCTTACAGTACATGTGGTGAATGAATATTTGTCTAGTATTTGGCATGTAGCATTTATTTGGGTGCAGTTATAACCCTTTCAGCCCCCTTCCCCCCTCCCTTCTTCCCCCCCCCCCCCCCAAGAAATGGGATATAATGAATGCTTAGTTGCATTGATATAATGTTTAAATTTGTATGTGTTAAAATGGCTTCTCCAGATACCACGCAATGGAGTGCTGAAGATAAGAAGAAACTGCTCGGTGCAGTGTTGGAGATGGGAGGCAACAACAATACCAAGTCCTTCAAGACTGTGGAGTCATCGATAACATGGGAAAACATCAAAGTGGAAGGGAAGTCAGCAGAAGAGTGTAAGGCGATGTATCAGAAGTTGATCAGCAAAGTGAGTATAGCATTTTTTGCCAGCTAGTCAGTTCATTCATTACCCGTTACTCTTTTTAGAGTTTGGTTACAACTTTAAATTGTTTTCTACAGATTCAGGGAGGAGACTAGCTGTTGCTGTTTTCTGAACATGTTTATAAAGTCTAGTATGATTTGATAGCCTGACAGTTAATTGTATAAAATATGAGGTGTGAGCAGGGACTGGGGAATTGTATTTTTAGCAGCTGAAATGATTCTTATGTTCTTGTAATTGTACACTAAAAATTTAACAAGCATATGATGTTTACCAGCAGGACAGAAGCAGAGCTGACACTTCATCCTCATTGCTAATTAAACCACTCAGTCAGTAGTTATTCTCGGATCCCTCAGTAAATTGCACAGCATGGAACCACTGAAAACACTAGTTCCTTGTTGGTTTATTATTATTCGTTGACTTCCTTCATAGTGCTAACCCCTTTTAACTCGCTGTTCTGGCAGTCATATCACGGTTGCAGTATCCTTCTGAATTCCTGGTATCTGACAGCCCAAAATTCTCACTATGAGATTTAAACAGCGCCAGGAGAAGTGCATAATAAGAAAGGTAAAATCTCCGAGCCCTTAAGGTTCATTGCTGCAGATATCACCTGCCTCCATTCATCTCTCTGGTTGGCCTTCTTCAGCATTCCAAGCCCTTGAGGTTCATTGCTGCAGATATAATCCGCCTCCACTCATCTCTCTGGATGGCCTTTTTCCGTTTGTTAACACCAAGTGTTTGCAGGTATCTCTGGACAATATCTCAACATTGTCTTCTTGTCTGCCTCTGCATAAACCGTATCATATTAGACAGTGTCCATTTTACGGCAGAAAGTCACTCACTATTTTTAGAATCTGCCCTTCACAACACAAATCACCTAGTGCATATTGGAAAAGCATTCAAGTGATATCTGCAGCTTATTGTCACAGCATGCACTTAAACTCAGTAGCCGGGTGATGGAACTGTATATTCTTAATCCATATATGGGTAAAATGCAAAAGCTAACTGACCAGAAGCAGCTTGCTAAAACTTAACAATCAGCTTACCCATGCGTCATATTGGACCAGAAGTCCCACACTTATGCATGCAATTATTATCGGGTATTTATTATGATCCAGTACAAAAGGCAATGCAGAGCAAGGTATATTATATGATTTTCACAACAGGGTTAGTAACACTGGTTTTTATCATCTCAAAATGGAACGAACATATGCAAACAATCAAATGCCCCAAATGATTATCCTTTAGTTGCAGTTAGACATGATCAGTGTCCTTGAAATTAGTGTTCCTGTTTACTTCTTATTTGAGTGTTGTCTCGCTTTCTCTGGCCACTGCAGTGATAATTTCCTAATTGGTTGCATATGAAAGTTTACGTAAAATATTCTGTTTGTACTCAGGTGAGAAAGTACAGAACAATGCAAGAAATCATCGCTGACGCTGTTGCATTTGTAGAAGGGCCAGGAAGATTAAGTGAGGTATGTTCCATCTGTTGGTTATAGCTGTTTAAGCAGCTTTTTAACTGAAATGCCTTAGATCTTCCTGCAAGCTTCACTTGGAAGGTCAAGGGTAGTGAGCATACTTTGGACTTTTTCTCCAGGGGTAATAAACAGGCAGACAGATTGGCTGGATCTGCACCACTGGGTCATGAATTCATACAAGACAAGGCCCTTTAGAAACAAGCAAAGGAATTAGTAGAGGAACAAGATTATTATGGCCTGGAGAGAATAAGGCACCTTGTTGTAACCAGAGGTTCTGGCTGGCTCACTACACTCAGAGGAAAGGCAAGACGGACACGTAACCAGATTGTGACCAGTACCATCAGTATTGGAACTCTGCACTGGCTGCTGAAGATGACGACGGAGCACACACGGAATTCCAAGAAGAAGAAAGCTTTTTTTTACAGGTTGAGATGAAATAGCAAGTGTCAGGTCAGTCCACTGAATTACCTCTTATAAAACAATGATGAACAAAATTTAGAACTGGTCAACTTCTTAAGAATTAAATTTGAGTGAAAAGATTAACACCCCATGACGAAGTGTAGATAGGTCTCGACCAGTATGAGCCCTCGTCCTGGTGGTCCTCCACATATGGGTCAGCACTTTTGCATCCCACATGTGAACTGACTTCGCTGTGGAATCAGAAAATCCAAGTATGGCATACTGGTTTCTACAGGCTGCCCTGGCACGTAGAGTGTAGCTTATAGTATTGCTGCATGTTTGCTTCCATACTTAGTCACAGTTAGACACAGACATGTATTACAGATTAAATAGAAAATGTTGTCAGTAAACATTAGATGAATTGGAATTCAGTGCTGCATATTTTATTATCAGAAATAACTTTTACGATTTTAATTTCTGCATGTAAAGTATCCAGATGTGCCCAAGAAACCCCCAACAGCCTTCAGTTTGTTTGTCATGAAACGATCGAAGAAGTTTCCAGATGTCAAAGGCACCGATCGAATGAAAGTGTTTGCCAATGACTGGAACGAGCTGTCCGAAGAAAAGAAGGTGAGTGTCCTAGATATTAACTGTTAAAATTAAAAAGTTTGACCTCATTGCACTGGGTTTTATTCTACATGGCTTTCTGCTGAGAGCGTGACACCAACAATGAACTCTGTAGCTTCAGCAACAATCCACCAGGGATCTCTGAAAAGTCTGCCTGTGAGCTGAACAACATTTCTATGAAACAAACTCATGCTGTTCATAGCCTTCCTTCATTTCAACTTGAGTTTTGCAATGAGTTGATTGTGGTTACTTCCTATATCAGCTGATCTGCATACTGTATAATGTCTTGCAAAGAACATCTCCATTTTCCAGTTATGAGAATATGGTACTCTCCAAAGCTCATGAACCCCCCCCCCCCCCCCCCCCCCCCCCCCCAAGAAATCAGTTTTATTCTTGCAAGGGAGTGACTGTGATTAGCATACATGGCTAACAAAACTGTCATGTTCTGGTTATGCTTTTTTTATTGGCTATGATGACTTGGACCAGCAAAGTCAGATACAATGAGTGTCAAGTCTGGTACAGTGAGTGTCACATCAAGTACAATGAATGCCAAGCTCTGTGCATTGAGTGTGAAGCACACTAAAAGGAGTGCCAAGCCTAGTACAGTGAATGCCAAGCTCTGTGCATTGAGTGTGAAGCACACTAAAAGGAGTGCCAAGCCTAGTACAGTGAATGCCAAGCTCTGTGCATTGAGTGTGAAGCACACTAAAAGGAGTGCCAAGCCTAGTACAGTGAATGCCAGACCCGATGCAATGATTGTTAAGCCCACTTCAAGGAGTGCCAAACCTGGTACAGTTATGTCAGGGCTTTAGGAATTTGGACGTAATTTGCCTGTCATTAAAATTGATTATGTTGTGTTTCCCAGGAAACGTACAAAAAGAAATACTTAAAGCTAAAGAAGAAATATGAAGAGGAACTTGAAATATTCAGGTAAATTGTTTATATTCTTTGTATGTGACCATATTTAATGCCCTACTGGTTAAGAAATAACTGCAGTGGTGTGTATGGAGAGAGGAGGCAGGGATCCACCAGCTTAGAGTGGGGACACATGAAGTTACAAAGTGAATAAACAACCAGAACTTTTTGCCAGAGTTTACATCTGGCCAGTAAGAAGTAGAGCGGCATTCTGCAAAGCACCTACTTTATTATGATAGTTAGTGTTTAAAGGTGGTAGAATAGTGTTACAGTGGTATAAATGAGGCGACTGTCTAGATTTTAGTGTAAAATTCAATCCTATGTAGAGAAGCTTTAACCCTAAAGACAGTGACACTCTGCCATCTCTTCTTAAACTTCCTGATACCTAGTTCTTCCTTCTTGGTCTAGTATCATCTCTCAGGTTTAGTGATCAAGTTCTGCTAGTTTCAAACATGACCCATCCACAATGCCCACTGGATCCTGGATGGCTTCCCCTTGCTTCCAGAATTGAAGATTCTGCTTCACGGCACAGTCTGTCCACCCCTATGGATAGAGGACCACGGGCTTAGTTTTCTTAGGTGGTCTCACAAACCAGGACTAATGTGCATGTCATTGTCCTTACTGGCAGCATTTTCCATTGAGGGTTTAGGCCACATGGCTAGTGTTATCGCCATAGACTGAGCAGGCCAGGATGTTTTATTTTTGCCTCCAACAGAAAAAAAAAACATCCGTCGTCTTTGGATCTAAAGTTGAGTCTGACATGTGAGAGCCCAGTGTTTTAGTAGCTTGATTCCATTGAGGGTTTAGGCCACATGGCTAGTGTGGTCGCCATAGACTGAGCAGGCCAGGATGTTTTATTTGTGCCTCCAACAGAAAAAAAAAAAAAATCCGTCGTCTTTGGATCTAAGGTTGAGTCTGACGTGTGAGAGCCCAGTGTTTTAGTAGCTTGATCAGTTGGTCCTGTGTGTGCACATGACACATCTTTAAATGTGTGTCATAATAGCTCACTCTGCTGTAGACCCTTATGTTCCGTACTGGATAATAGTTTAGATTATTGACAGTAAAATACCTAAATCTGTGGAGGGAAAATTCTGAACCTAAGACAGATCCCTGCCAGTCTGAATCATGACCTGGTCACATTCTTATATTAACATACCTCTCTACAAATGTGAAGTTTGAGTATTCTTGCACACTCTGTTGTTTCTTAGGTTTAGAGAGAGAAGGGACAGAAAACTTGCAACACGTTTCCCGTAAAGGTGGCACTTGTTTACCACATTGAAAGTGAAATCTCACTGACAAGTTACAAGTCCCTTTTGGGGCTGTTGTCACACTGATGCTAATGCACTTGACTTAGAGTTATAATCAGAATTATATCAGTTGTCAACAGAAGATCTTGTCCAGATGACCGATAGACTCCTGCTGTGTAAGCTCCCCTGTGGAGTTTTTCTATTATTATTATAATCAGAAGATTTGTCTGTGTATGTGTTTTAAAAAAAATCAAATTTAAAACAAATGCTATAATTGAACTAATAATTGACTGTGATAAACTCACTAATGCAATAGTGGCAGTTTTATTTTGTAATTCCATTGTTGGATTTTTATATAGAACAAACAGGTGTTACTTATGTGCTGTGCTCACTTTCATGCTAGCCCCTGCCATTCTTGCCTATCCACTACTGTTCTTTTCCATTCCACTGGGATGTTTGATATGGCCAAAGTATGTCAGTTTCTGATACAAGATGCTGTTTACAAGCCAGTACCCCTTAATGTTCTGGTTTCTTTAGGATGTTCATGCTGTTATAAGAATTTTTCTGTAAAAAGTCACATTTTTCATAGATTTACGGTATCTATCTTGGAATCAAGGCCGAAGGGTTTCAATATTCATAGTAAGAGTCAAAGGGTTAATAACTCATGGTTTCTGGATAATTTTTAAAAATGTTGTTACTCTCTACATTGCCATTAGAGGTCAAAAAATAAAAATCTTAAACATTTATAATCCCTAATCTGTGTGTGCAATGATAGATATGGTGATTAAAAACACATACTTCTGGTTTAATTAGACAGAACCACCCAGATTGTCTGCTGCCAGGGATAGTTTCTAACAGTCGTCCAAACCCACCATTGCCATCAAAACTCTATGTGGAGTCTCGGATTGAGAAGATTAAAAGCAAAAAACCTGAGGTAGGTAGCTGTGGTGAATTATCACTTTCTTATTCTTTTAACCCTTACAGAGCAGTTGGCATATTGTGCTGTGGGGTTACAGCTAGGCTGCGATATGTGCCTTCCTGCCCAACACATCAGTTTCAGCAGACTTCTAATTAGTCACCTTTTACGGCTGGCTTGTTAAGGGCCTGTGGGCTTATTCTTGTTGCCCTGAAACCCACATATGAAGGGTGCTTTCAGTGTCGAAGTTATCTTATTCTTATGTATTATTGTAAACGTAGTGTAGTTTATCACTTGCCGCATAGTTCCTTGTGTCTGACGCACAATAACCATTATGCCTTTTTAACACTGTACTTACACACTAAACACACAGTCTCGTAACACTTGACGCAGTTTCTTGTTTAGCACTGTACACTTTCTCGTGTCACTGCAACACAGTTTTTAATGTGTCACTTGTCGGCACATTTTCAGGATATCTCTGCATATAAGCCTCTTATATATTATAATGCATAGTCTGTAGTCACTTTTTAGTTTCATTATATACAGCCTCTTGTGTATCATACACACAACCTCTTTTGTATCTTTAAACACACAACCTCTTCTGTATCTTTAAACACACAACCTCTTTTGTATCATTAAACACACAACCTCTTATGTATTATTATACTCACATAATCGGTGCAACGAAGTCGGCCCTCTCGACTTTAATCTTTTACTGCTGTACAAAGTCTTCTGCTGTCTACCCACCCTTTTTAGTCTCGCTGTGAGGCATTGTCACCTGTCTTCTAAATTGCTTTAGGTTTTTGTGAATTCGGTGCCCTAGATCTTCCGACAGTCCATGTACAGGCATTGTGTATTGATGTGTGCACAGGACAACAAACAAAATGTCACATTTAAAAAAAAATAATGAAAGCTTAGTCGCTGCATTTATTTTGTTTTATAGGGACATAGTTTGTAACAAGCTTCCAGAATTTGAATTGATTATTGTGTTGTTTTTACCTCCTTTCTAGCTGAGCAATGCAGAGGCTGTGAAAATACTAATGAATAAGTATAAAGAGCTGCCAGATAAGAAGAAACTCAAGTGGATAAAAAAGGCGATGAGCTGCCGACAGACATACCAGGTTGGCATGTTACCATAATGTTCTGATGTAAATGCTTGGAATCAGATTTGAAATAATTCATTGCTGTCTGTGTTGATTACTTTTTAAAGAAGGTAAAAGGGTGGGGTTATGTCTTTAACCCGATGATATAGGGCCTATTCAGTATGTGCTGTAATTTCTTACATTCCAGCAAAATAATAAATTTGTTTGTTGCCAATAAAAAGACAATTGGGACACTGTGTTGTACACCTAGGTTGCAGTATTTTCACCTTTCAGCTTAGCTAACCAGATATTCCTGAATGAATCCTGTTTTAAAAAAAAAAAACTATAATTTTACACAGGTGACTAATTATGAAATGGAAATATTTGAAGAAGTGAATAGAGTGAAGAATTACATGACAACGCTTCCTAGTCGTCCCCATGTGGAATGCAATTTTTCATTATTTGAAGCCCCCCACCCTGGCTTTTGCTGGGGGCCCTGAAAATAGCCTAAACGGCTGAAAGGGGTTTCTGGGACCTCTCCAGGGGTGATCCTCACCCGCATGGTGGCACTTTGTGTCACCAGATGTTTATCGCTTGTGTGATGTCCTGGTGGGGTACAACAAGAGAGGAAGAGAGCGCTTCATTGGGCCTTTTAAAAGCTTATACATTGTCACATACTGTGAACTTGCCAAGATGCAAATAAAGCGGATTATGACAAAGTGGTGAAATTTGTTTTTAAATTATTTAAAACGCCCTTTTGCTAAATGCTATTAAGTAAATTAGTCATATTCCACCCTCATAGATACAGCCAGGTGGAAACAACAAATGCTGTTAACGATACAGTCAGGGTCTGGTCAGTGCAATAATACAGGTGTTAAATGAGTACTTTTTCTTGGACCTTTAAGAAAGTATACAGAGCTCATACCATGCCCTTATCACTGTGGGACCGCTAAATATGATCATCTCAAATCCTCTTCCTAAACACTTGGGGGAATGAGACTGTCCACACAGTTTTATCTAAAACCCTGCAGCTACGGCCCCTGGAGATCCCCGGGTTTTTTTTTTTTTTTTCCTGTCCCACGTCTCGTCAGTCTAATGACAAGACCTAGACCTGGCTGCTTCTAGATAGTAAGCTAAGTGATTGTGTTGCATTGTTTTATTTATGTATGTGCTGATGAAGATCCATAGCTGCAAAGTTCACGTTTTGTTTGTGCTCACTTTTTTTGTTAAGCTTGGTGGTATACTTTTTCGTTTGGTTTTATATCTTTTCTAGATACCTTCTTAAACACAGAAAACAGGGCAGGCACAAACAGAGCCAATACTGTTAACTTAGCTTGTCCTGTAGTCTTTCTAATGCTGCATTTTTGGCATGTCTAGGGAAAGGATTACTTAACTGTCTTTGATTACATGTTTGTTAAGAGGCATTAGAACCACCCTTCCCCACTGCTTTTTGCTGGCTTCTCATGTTCTGTACTGTTTAATCAAGTGACTGTCAGTTCTTGTATGGTTTTCACATCACCTTGCTCCAGTTGAGTCACGGAGAACTCAATATCCTCATATTTAATATCTAAACACGCATTGCCTCTTATAATCAGTTCTGCCCAAAGAAGGTCCATTCCCTGCCATGTCACCCGGCTTCTCTTATTCCATTCTTTTGGGTGCGCATGAATTTTACAGAAAAGGCTTTTTTGTGTATTTGAAGGAAACACCCCCAATTAGTCGTCTTTTATAACATAAATAGTTGTGCCCCGCCCTAAATGGGTGCCCTATTAACTAATTAATATAGCAACTGTTTGTGATTAAACAAGTGTTTAAAAAAATGGGCTATCCTCCGAATAACGATCACAATATAGCGGCCAAATACAGGGCCTCAGTCGCATTCAAATGCGCACTTCTGGCGACCTAATTTGCGGGTTTCATGCGACTACTGCCGAGAGTATTCCCTACGCCTCTCATGCGGCGTAGATTGGGGCTAAACTAGATGGCTGGGACTCATGAGCAAAACTGCAGGAGATGCGGAAAGTGCTGCTTGTGAGTCCCAGCAATCTAGTTTAGAGCCAATCCACGCCGAGCGGGGGATACTCTCGGCGGCGGTGGCAGTCGCCGGAAAACCACAAATTAGGTCGCCGGAAGTGCGCAATTGACACGTGACTGAGGCTCTGTTAAAGTGTTTTTGCAGCCGCCATCTTTTGTGCTCATTATTCAGAGGATAGCCAAAAAATGAATTGCTTTCGGCTGACTAATGAATATATGTTATGTTACATGGTATAGAAAGCTGTGTGAGAGTCTTGTTAACAAAACATTCACAACTATTAGATATGTTTATAGCCTATATAGTGACTTATTTTAACACATTTTGTATTTGTTGTTGTTGTGAAGGATCAAGTTGATGTGTATTTGTCGCATAATCCCAAGTCGTCAACGAAACCAGCGCTACTTCATTTGTCAAAGGAGGAGGAAAGAATTTGGCACTCATCAAAGGGCAAACCTGTGCCTGCACCTCCAAAGTAAGTGTAGTCATCATTGTTATTGTCATCATCATCATCTACCATGCAGGTAGGCCGGGAAAGAAAGGTGGTGGGGGGGGGGGCACATTATTTACCCTCTTGCGTGATCATTAGAATGATCAGGTTAATATTTTTTGTTCTTGACTATGCCATGTGGTAGAGTGATCCAGTTAGGAGGGGGGGGGGGGGGGGGTCGAGAAGGGAATCAAAAGGACTGCAGACAGGTTCAGAGCTGAGCAAGCCCAGATCTGAAGTGAACAGGGTTTGGCCAAATATGACTACCACTTACTTGACCGGCATGGGCAGGACATTATTCTATACCTCAGGACAGGGCATAACAAACTTAACAAGCATATGCGCAGGCTTCGTCTAAGCAGTTCACCTTTGAGCCCTTGTGGGCTGTGTGTGCAGTCTACAGTACATTTCGTGCAAAAATTACTTTTGTACTTCCCATTAAGAAGGGAATGCTGGCCAACTGAGTCAGCACTGCACTCAAAGTTGTATGGAACTAAAAACAGTCAAGTTTCTCACAAGAACTTATCTGTCTGTGTCAGAAAGCGAACACAAGAAGAAGAAGCAAGCTCAGATACCCTGTTCAACCTCCAAGAAAGTTATAATTAGGGTACTCGTAACGGCCACTGTAGTCCTGTGCAAGTAAGGGTCTTCGTGTAGTTTAATATGTGACAGTGGCTATTAAGTAATCCTGAAGTGATTGTTATTGGTTCTGAGGACCAACAACCACACCTGAGTATCACCTGTCTCTGGTACACTGCTGTGGCTACCCAGCAGGGGATGAAGGGAGATATTTCGGTTGGAGAAGTTTCTATGTCTGTATCCTCCAAGTGTGGATGCTTTTCCAAGTCATTAGCGAGTCTATGTGCTACAATTTTCTCCAGAAGCTTGCCCAAAGTATTCTGCATGGTAATGATTCTGTAGCCCTTGATCTTGGAATGTTCTTTATTTAGTTTTGCTAACGGTAATAGGAAGCCGTGTAGCAACTTCTCTTTGATCTGACCACTCCTGGTGCTGATATTGAACTTTCCTGCCAGTTCTGTCTATCGTTCTCTGACATCTGCATCATACTGGATGCCATCGGCCTGGAGCAGTGTTGGGCGATTTCCTAAGTGTTGTCCGAATGGTCTCAGTTGTAATACTGAAATCATCACTTTGCTCTGCCGTCTCACACAACTCTGTGAAGGTGTCGGCTTAACTCTCAGTCTAGCTGCCTCATCTTTCTGTTCAGTCTGTTTCAAGTAGCATTGAAGGAGAGTGCCTGTCCTTTATCTGCATCAGATTTCTACCATGTCAGATCTGTGCCTTGGTAGTTATTATAATTAGGGCACTCGTAATGGCCACACCAGCCCAGTGCAGTTCTGCCTAAATAAGGATCTCCACTTGGTTTAACATGTGGCAGCCGTATCGTCGAAGGATGATGTAAGATGAAATGACCAGATAACTAACCACGACTTTTGTTTCATTCTTCCACAGGAATGTTTTCAGTTATTTCTGCAATGCTAAGAGGGATACAGTGCACCACCTTGGTATATCCGAACAGAGTCGAACGCTGGCATCTTTGTACCACAAACTCACTGAGAAAGAGGTTAAAGACCTTACAGAGGCTTTGAAAAAGGTACAGTTTAATAGATTTTATCAGGTACACTTTACACAGACTCGTTGAAGGTTAAAGATTGTATTACTTAATTAAACGGAGGGCCTCTCCCCAAAACACATGTAATAACTGAGAACAAAAGTCTAGAGCTGTACCTCCACAACTCTGGCAATGATTGTAAAGTTTCATGGAAATAAGTTGTTGTTACATAATATATTAAAAATTATTTGTTGTCTCCTTGTTTAGGAAGTTGAAGAGTATGTGCAAGCATACACTCTCTACTATAATTCATTACCAGAGGAAGAACGAAGTGAGGAAAAATCACCAGAGGAGGCTCTAGCCGTTTATAATGTAAGTTTCTTATTTCAAATATCACCATTACCCTTTATTATTTAGATCACAATTCATTAATCTAAGTAGCTTTATCTGTAAGCCCACAAACAATGGCTTACCATGTTTTAATCTAGAGTTTTATTTAACAACAGTGTTGAAATTATTGAAATGTTAATATATCATTTTACAGTAAAATAAAATAAGTTAATCTTCACGTCTATTAATTTCATAGTAGTAATAGACAAAGGCATTTAAAATACTAGCTGTGAGAAAACATGTCTGTGTACTTACTTCTAGGAAATAATGGGGGTAAAAAAAAAATTCTTAGGGATATTTGTCGACATGACCAGCTTAGTCCCGGCAATGTTCTCTATTGTGTGTGCTTTCTGGATAAGTAGAAATCCTGATAAGTGGAAGCGTTTTCTTAGATCCCTGCGACTTCTACTTATCCAGACTCGACTAATAAGTAGCAGTGGGAAGATATGCAGACTTATTTCTGTTAGGATCTTTAGTGTGCAGCATCTGAAAATTGAGTGCAACAGTGTTCAAACACTTTAACAGCACACACAGTGACACACCCATGCAGGGGTTAACACATGCAAAACTTCTCTTTACTGCCTGCATTTACATTTTTAGGGGGATGTATGATAGTGAGATTCTGAGCCTAACGATAAACACATGGCTAGTGTTGCGATCGACTGTACAGGTTAGAATTTTGTTATTTGCACATAAAAAGAAGAAAATCTGTCACTTTACGCAGAATTTGAACCTGGGTCTCCTGAATGAGAGCCAAGCAGTCTCAGTAAATGCCTAACTTACACTAAAATCATATGAGGCCGGAGAAGTTTTTATTTTAGTCTTGTCAACCTATCCACAAAAAAGTATACAGAAGTTTCCCCCTGAGGCAGAGACAGCTATCAAGAATTTGGACTTCATCACCTGTCCAGTATTTATGATGAAGATGGTCTGCTATTTAATTACTACTCTCATGGCTGGCAGACTGCCAGTGGTGCAGCTAAATTCCATGGCCATAACTTGAAACTGGAGTAAACCTTGGTTGAGATCATGACATAGGGGTAAAGAATAAGTGAAATGTCCAGGCAGTCGCTAGTATCAACAGTTAGAAGATTGTGTTATACTGGGCACTACCTGATAAGAAACAAGTAGAGAATCACCAAACAAGAATTGAAATGGGAAGTGAAATTATTAAGGAAGCGAGGGCATCTAAAAGAAACCCTAAAATGAACATTGATGAGAGGGGTCAAAGGTAGAGAAATAGCCAGCAGCCCTATGTCGCTTCTAAGTACAACAGAACAATAATGATTTTGACTTAGACTCGGACAAAGCAAGTTCTTTGTTGTTGAATCTCTCAATGGCTTCTTGGGATCCTACTTAGTTTGACGTCAGAAAATGCAAGCAGAAGAAGACAAATGTGTCCATATCACACATTTGGACAGTGGTGATAAGCATATAAAGGAATTTGTGATGTAATGTTACCAGAAAATGACAATATTCAACTGGATTGCAAAGTGAGCAAATAAACATTATGAAAAATAGAACAAAGACCATTGAACGACAATGTCTTCTGGTTATCTCTTGCTACATGCTTTTGTTGTTTATTAGCCCTGAGAAAAAAACCTGGCATTTTTGTAGGTGCCATTTTGACCTCGTATTACTGCAGAGGAACGAAACTTCGACTCTACAAGAGCATCATTTTGCCAGTTCTTCTTTATGGAGCGGAATGCTGGAGAATGACCAAAAAGGGTGCACACAAGCTGTACACCTTCCACCACACATGTCTACGTAGAATTATCAAAATGTTCTGACCAGAAATAATCTCAAACACTAAACTACTTCAAGTCACAAACCAAGAAACTTTAGACAGTATGATAACCAAGAGAAGATGGAAATGGCTTGGCCACGTTATGAGAATGAATTCTGATATACCCGCCAAAACAGCTCTCACATGGACACCAGAGGGAAAGAGAAAACAGGGGCGCCCAAAAACAACATGGAGACGAACCATGGAAAGTAACCTGAGTGCGGCATCTTTGACATGGAAAACTACACTGAAGATTGGACAGGAAAGCATGGAAAGTCCTCTTTAAAGCCTCATGTGCCACTAGTCATAACGAGAACTGATTTTGATTTCATGATTTTTCCGAGGTCTTGGTGTTAGAATTCTAGAGAGGTCATTATCTTTTGATGAGTCACATGATTATTTTTTTGTAGGGTGTAGGGGATCTAATCCATTTATTCCTTTACTCTGATTGGTTTCAATATTTATTTCCTTTCTATATTTGAGGGGGGGGGGGGTAGAAACAAAAACAAAGATTACAAATTTATTAGTAGCCTGTGTATAAAAAAAAAATTTCAACACATTGACGCGTGAACACAGTGGGGGAAAATATAAAATAAAGAAGACTTGACTTTTCTCTTTATCTTTCGCTACATGATAGGGTTTTGCCCTAACTTTTTTTTTTTCGTGGTTCAGCAACGTTAAGCGGTGATCATGGGAGATGAGGAACAATTTCCCTCTAAGGTTGTTGCCATTACAAATGATCATTTGTTGTACAACAAAGAGAGAAATGTTGTTGATTTTTTTGCTCTGCAGAAAATCCTTCATGAAGACCAAAAGAAGAAGAAAAAGAAGAAAACAAGCAACACAGCTGAGGCCAACCACAAGAAGGTCGACCTGTCTAAGATACTGCCCCAACCCACTGCTGATTCTCTTGGTGATGATGATAGTGATTTCTCTTTACCCTCATCTGGGAATGTGGCTCCAGCTAAGAGGAAGAGCGAATCAGACGCAGACCCAGTGACACCAAAAAAGAAGCGCAAGCATGATAGCATCCCTGAGACCCACACTGTGCCAGCGCAGAATGATGAACTTGATGAGGATGCTCTGCTATCTATGTGGACACCCCAAAAAAGCAACGGGTGAGTTCTAGACAGTTTATAAATATCAAGACTATGTAATTTTGTGAGTGGATATCTGGGTTTTTTTTTAAAAGTTCAGACACAATGTTTTTTTTTTATATACAGAATCTCTTGCCGGAACAGTTTTTATCTCTTTTTAGTGTTTGAGAGATGGACCATGTCATCCGAGTTTCATTGTTATATTCATTCTTTCATCAACATTTTTCTATTTCACTTCTATTGTTAGATATATTTTGTCACATATCACTCCTGTCACGTGCCTGATTTAAGGATTTCTCCTTAAGAACCAACAGCACTCAGAAATAATTATGTTGAGTCGTTTGGCTCGTATTGGTCTAAGGGATGCCCCGTGGCCAATATACGCTCAACTTATTTCTGGAGTAGGGCAACTCAAGTTTTGGCACTACAAAATATATCTGTATATGAATACAATATTCCTAGGCACACTTGGCTGGACACCCCCACTGCTATAAAAAGAAATCCCCCAGGTTATGATAGTTTACTATCATAACCATGTTAACACATATAATATTTATGGTTTATACACACAACTATGCTAAACACTTAGAAGGGTGAAATAGAGACATCTAAGTCAGCCATGAAAATGAATGCATGTAATCAATACAACATATATATATAATAGTGAAGTAGACACCAGATCTCAGTGGATGGATCCCAGAACACAATTACCAGACTCAACAGACTCTAAACAGCCAGAAAGTCCTGGAGGTAACACTGTCTCATCCTAGGACTCCATTGGAGCTGTGGGGAATATAGCATGACATAGAATCAAACTGGCACTTATCCTAGTTCTACTGTTGATGCTTCCCTCAGCTCCTGGTGATTCGACTGTCTTTGACTCTGGTAATTCTGCTTCAAGTGGATCAGGTAGTGGAGGAGTACCTCACCATAGAGGACACAGCAACTGTATAGGTACTCAGCACGTCTCTCCCACCGGTCAGGTCACAATACTGTCTCTGAGCTCCACCAAGCTCCTGAAGACTGGTCTACTCGAGTATGGATATACTCTCTGCAAATGTTCACCTGCTCTGGAGTTCACTCACATGCTCTGGCACTGTTAGGATGTTTGGAGTATATGGCACCCAATGATGATGATGCCAGGTACCTTCACTGGTGTTAGCTGGTGGGTAGTTGGTTGGACTGTGATTATTCTGCCAGCTCTTCACAAAGGTTTCATCCTGTCAGGAAAGAACTCAGAATTAGTCATCACCAAGAGGGTATCATCTTGACAGGAAAGACTCAGAATTAGCATCAGTCACCATCCCACATCAGCCTCCCCCATCCCCCCTCTGCTCCTCTGTTTCATTCCTCAGAGTGTACTCTCAAGACCAGGAGACAATGTCTCCTATCATTTATCTGTCTAGTTTAGTGCAAGAGATGGAAAGTCATATATATATATAATGCAACGTTCTGGCTGCCCAAGTGCTGGCCTAAATTCTCCGTCCCCATTCGTATGCACAAACTTCTGTTGTTAGTTTAAATGGTACACACTTGTAGGGTCATTATCTTTACAAATATGTGTGGTTTATTTAGGGTATAGGCCATTTAGTCTGTACAGAAGAAGGTCTAAGTTCGAATCCGCTTCTCTAGAGATCAAGAACGGTCGAACTATGTGTGATCCCACAGCCGATTCTGATCTCTCTACAGCAGTGACCAACTTTTAAAAGCTATATTTAGGGTACTCGTAAACTATAATTAACTTACCCAAGCATAGGAAAAGTCCTAGACACTACAGGCCACCTTCTTAACGTGAAATTTACTGAGGCGTCGATGAATATATCTGAGATCTAGGAAAGCCGACAGAAACAATGCCCGCACAAATTAAGTTAATTAAGGCGTCGGTAAGAAGAAGTTCCTTGTATACATGAGCAAGGAGTAAACCGATTTCCAGGAGTATTCAAATAACTCCAGAAATAATTATTTTACAGTTGCCAATTTGAACATGACTATAAGTCAAAGCAACTAGAAGATGTAGACATTATAATTTTATCCGATAAAGGTATATATCGATACAAGGGACTATATACCTTTCCGGACAAGTCCAAGTTTGAAAGTTT